CACAAGAGATGGGTGTGAATGTCAGATGAGGTGTATGTGGAGGAGGGGGGCCTAATGAAGGACATTTGGAGAAGGGATACGAAGGTAGAGCATTGACGGGATGGGGAAGCGGGGGGTTACTGGTTGAAGACATTTTGATCAACGGGACTAGGGAGAAATGTTCACATATTGAAATGTTCACATTTTAAGCTAAACAATGCAATTGTATGTATATACAAAAAGAAATAATTTTAATAAAAAATATTAAAAAAAGAAAAAAATAAGCAAACGGAATCCAGCAACTTGAGAAAAACTAAAGAATTATACAGTACAACCACATGCGGTTTATCCCAGAAATGCAAGACTGTTTTAACATTATTAAATCAGTTCAAGTATCGTACCAATAGAAAAAAAGGATCATTCTTTGCTCACACTAGGGAAATGTAATAGGGATAAAAGAAAAAATTTAAATTTCCTTAAACTTTTAAAAACTGACATAAATAACGCAAGTAAAAGACAAACAGAATGGGAGATACCTGTGTTGATATACCAGTTTAAACTTGACTACAAAAAAAAAAAAGAAAGAAGAAAAGGGTGATACCTGACCCTCTACTGGATCCTGTACTAGAGGGAAATAAATGCTGTAAAGGTCATTACTGGGTCAAATGACATAATTAGAACATCGACAGTAATTCATAAAAGCCAAGGTATCAGCCCAGCCATGGTGGCACAAGCCAGAAGGCATCAGTGAAATGGCTAAGGCCAAATGGGAGGCCTTCCCTTCTGTCTAATCTAAGTAGGCAGGATTAACGGTGTACATATACAGTCAGAGCTAACCGAGACACTAGGGCAGAGGGATTACAAGACCCTGTCAAAAATATTTACCTATCTCTCTCTCCCTCAGGGGGGTGGGGTAAGAAAGAAATGAAGGAAGATGTCAATCCTAAATTTACTAAAATTGAAAACTTTACCATGATTCTGTAAGGGAATAGCTCTGTTTTTAGGAAATTTAGAAGAGATCATAATGTAGGCAACTTATATTCAGAACAAAAGACAAAACCAACAGAGTAAAATGTTAACAATAGGTGAATTTGGATAAAGGATTTAAATTTGAAATTATTTACAAGACTGTAGAAAAAAGCATAAACAAAATAAAGGGTATTTTTTACACTCCTTTAACATTAGTGACAGATACTATGATTCACCAAAGTATGGGCTTGGTTTTCCTTCTATTTTTTTTTTTCCAGAGAGAGATTTTCGCTACAGGGAGAGCGCATTCTCCAGAAACAGAAAGTGAGAAATCACCCTGTGAGGTGGGGAAGGTCACACTGCAATCCCTTCTCCTCTATTCTCTCTCTTCTTGGGATATTGGGCACACATGGGCTTGAGTTTTGGGGCACCAGTCCGGGACTTGAACTGCAGTGAATCACTTGAGAGTTCAGAGATGTAACCATTACACCACCTGCTAGTCCCAAAGGGTCTTCCTTCTTTTACTGACAGTACACATGTCTGTTTTCTCATGTGTAAAACAGACTATTTGAGTTAGATTAATGAATTCTGCTAAATAATAAACACTTAAAATATAATTTTACTGTTTCAAATAACAAAACTTTATAGTTGTGCTTTGTTATCACATGCCCACTGTTGGTCATATTAGAATACTGAATGCTTTTTGGGGATGTCTCTACGAACTGAAAGACTCAGGACCAGCAGTCAGCATAATGGCTATGTTGTTGGACTCCCATGTTGTCAACCATGGTTCAAGCCCTGGACCCGGTGGCTTAAACTCATGCCAGGCGTGTGTGTGTGTGCCCAAGAGCCCGAGAAGAGATTGGAGAAGGGACTGCAGCATGGCCATCCCCCCTGGGGGGTGATTTCTTGCTTTCTGTCTGTCTCTGTCTTTCTGGCAAGCACATGCACCCTATAGCAAAAACCTCTCCAAAAAATAACCAAAAACCAAAAAACAAAAACAAAGACTGTGGTTGGTTGATATATCCCAAATACACAGCTATAATAACTTTATGACTGGTTCACATTCCTCCTCTCATTCTCTCAACTGCTGCTATACCTTTCCTCATGTTTATCAAACAGTTTAGTTACTACTTTGAAAACTGCTTATTGCACAGCGTAAGCTGTATTACGGATATATTCAATACATATAGGGCCTCCTGCTCTTCAGTAGTGGTTACAGAATATAAACAACTTCATTAATATAGCATTAATACATTTATTATAAGCATAACGCCTACTCTTTAATAACCCTGTACTGGGGCCAATATGTGGCATGTTGGTTAAGGACTGTACTCCCACATGGCCTGACCATGGTTTGAGTCCCGGACCTTGTGGCTTGCTTTCTCACTTTTTCTGTTGAGCATGTGTTCTAACAAACTTAATAGCAGTAAGTAAAATAAATAACTTTTAAAAAATAACCCTATACTGGAGCTGACCTCTGGATATTAGGTCTTTTCTGAAGAGGGATTCACTAATGTAACCATAAAAGAACCATCTTTCCTACTAGGACCTTGCTGACTTTATGCACCAGCAATAGTGAACTATATAGGTACTTCTAATTCTGGGCTCTTTCTCAATTTCTATGCCTTTCTACACACCATTGGTTTCAACTTGAAATGTCATTCTCCAGGTCCATTTCCCTTTCTAAAGTTGTCATCAGTATATGAATAGTACCCTCAGCAACATGCAGCTACCTTCCTATACGTGTACTTGGACATAATTCTACTTTTACATTTAATTGTTCCACAATTATTTGCAGACCTGCCTCTCCTACTAACCATGAGTTCCTTGATGGCAGATAATCTCGAGTTTAACACTATGCCTAATAAATAAAAAGTTTACGTTTGTTAAGTACATAACATGTAAAAACACTAAGTGCTTACTACTAGACCAGTAATTGTTCAAAGAGCTATGCCATATAAATCATTAACCTCCACACAACCTCGTTGTGTCTAAGACCATTTTAAATATGAAACTTGCACAGAAAGTTAAATACTCATAAAAGGGTACTCCAAAAAGTTCTGAGAAAGGGCCAGAGATAGAGAAATGGTTCCATCACTGGAATCCCAGAGGCAAGTCTGGTTCGAGTCCTAGACCAGGTGGTGTAAATCTCACACCAGGAGCAACTGCATGTGTGCCCCAAATCCTGATGAGAATGGAGGAGCCAGGATTGCAGTGTGGTGGTCACCCCCTCCCAGGGTTGGGGGGGGGGTTTGGGGGGCAACCTCTCACTTTCTCTCTATACCGAGTGCATGCGCTGTATAGTAAAAAAAAAAAAAAAAAACTCTTAAAAATATTTCTGGGAAAATGGAGCTACAAGTTTATTTTGGTGCAAAAAAATAAAAATCCAACACACATTTCCCACATATTAGAACATGGATACACACTCTCAGCATCCAATCTTAACCAAGGCACATTTTAGAGTTCCATTCTAACCGAGTTACTACATAAACTTACTATCCGCAACTGCAGATCTCTACTACACCTTCCCAACAAACGGTAATTCTAATAGACTGCCCTCCATCAGTACTAAGAAACTTCTAGACCCGTTTTGATCTTTCCTCCCTTTGGTCCCAGATTAGCCAATCTAACTTCTGTCCCTTCTTTATTTGTCCATTCCTTTCTATCTGGTATGGCACACATGACCTGGAAAGTTAGAAGCAGGTAACACTATTGTTAATCTTTTCAACAAATTCACTTTCGGAATACACAATACAGTAAAACAGAACCAGTCTGAATTCTAGCCACTGGTTCTAGCAGTGTTATCTAACGGGAAGTTATTTAATCTTGTGGAGTCTGTTTTCCTCATTTTTAAAACCAGGCTCCTACAACCTGCATCAGCAAGTCCTTCTGAGGACTAAGAGTTCCAAACCATTTAGAGCAGTGTCTGGCAGATAAGCTTAAGTGTTATCATTACTAACAGTTAAAGTCATGCCCTGCTGCCTAAACGCTGAGTGGTCTACCACTAACAAAAATGCTAAATATTTCAGCTTCACTCAAAAACTTTCAATGTGATGCCGTCCTACCTCCAGAAAGATACCTTCCACGACTACACTACCCGATTCTCAACCCTTGCCAAAACGATCTGCAAGGAACCCCTGGCCCGGCAGAGGACCTTCTGCCCGCTTTTTAGTATCCTGGTGTTCTCCGCCCTTCAGGGTGCAACTCAAATCTCACCTCCCCTACATCGTCCCCCACGCCCGCCCTGGGAAACGTCCCTGCCTCGAATTTCCGCAGCACTGGCAGTTCGCCCCCGTTCATTTGACATTCACTCCGCTATACTAGATAAATCCTCTTCCTGTAGTCGCCTCAGGACGGTTCCAGCCTCAGGGTGGGGGGTGTGTCCCCTTCTTTATGTACTCCTTCAGGCTCGCGCAGTCTAGAACACGCACTTCAGAGGAGGCAATGTGCTGTTGCTATTAAAAAAAAAGTTACTGGCTGACAGAAAAATCGTCCTGAAGGGGAAGTCGGCAGAGCCTTTCTCCAGCTGGGCAGGTGCCGGGTCGGTCTCAGCCGGAGGCGGGCAGGGGGCGTCCCTCAGGTCTCCAGGAGGGCTGGGTGGGCCACCCCGGGCCCTTCCCC